ACATGGCATCTGAGACCTCATCTATACCTGTATTCAAAACACAGCCCAGAGAGTTGCCCCTGCATGGCCTTTTGTGAGTCTGACAACCAATCAGAATACATTTCTTACGCAGGAACAGGAAACAGAGAGGTGGGACTAAGCAGGGTATAAAAAGCCTAGCAAGCCCCTCCCTCAGCCCTTCTCTTCTTCTCCACCAACATTGAAACATGTGATCACCTTTTCTGTTCAGGGCTCAAGCCATGTGGTCCTGTCCAACAATAAACCATCTTTCCAAGCAGCCTCCATGTCTCCAGTGTCTTTTCCCCCACTTGGAGCTGAACCCAGAAGGACATTTCTTTCAACATAACTATATAGGACATAAATGGGGAGCTGAAAACATTCAAGTCCTGCGGCTTCCTAGTTCAGTGCCCGGCATAAAATAAGAAAATGCTTCTCCAGCCAAGTCTGATGCCGGGTAGCTCTGCATTTGTTTTGGCAAAATCTCTTCTCTCCTGTCAAACATTATTCAGAAAATGCTGGGCATTTTCCACTCATGTAGGCCAAAATAAAGCCAGAGCACATGTGGCGGAAATGAAGGGTAAGTCTGAAGGATGAGGGGGGAGGGAAGATTTCTGTGGTGCTGAACTGCTTCCTTCTATGAATCTTGGCACAAATCTAAGCCAGATTCAAGGCCCTGCAGTATTGTAAGCATGATGATGATGATAATGATTATTATTATTATTACTACGCATCCATCATTTCTGCCACCACGCACAAAATGGGCAGACTGTTTCACAGCAGACCTCAAGCCAGGAACCCGCCTTCATTTCCAACTCACAGCATGGAGCTAAAATAGTTTTTCTGCAGCTCTGAAATGTTCTCTTTCTCTTTTTCTCAAACGCCTAAATGTGAGAAACAGTTTTCTTCTGAAATGTGGCTTGCGAGTTTCCAACACGCACAGAAAGAGGCAACATAGTGCTCCCTTTATCCTTTGAAAAATTCAGCACCAGTGGACCATAAGCCACCCTTGATAGAAGATGATCATAAAAGGCAGATTCTCACATAAAGAGCAGGACAGAACAGACCTGATTGGTCCAGTGAGGTGAGGCATAGACAACCAGCAATAGCAATTAGACTTATATACCGCTTCACAGTGCTTTTACAGCCCTCTCTAAGTGGTTTACAGAGTCAGCATATTGCCCCCAAAATGGAGAATATGGGTAGCTCTTGACTTATAACCATTAATTTAGCAACTGTTAAAGTTACAACAGCAATGGAAAAAGTTATTTATCCTTGCACTTATGAATGTTACAACTTCTCCAGGGTCACATGATCCAAATTCCAGCAAGTATTTATGACTTTGCAGCATCCCAGCATAATGTGGTTGCGGTTTGCGACATTTTCAGGCAGCTTAAAGTCAATGGGAGAAGTTGGATTCCCTTAACAATTGTGTGAGTCCCTTAACAACTGCATTGATTCACTTAAGTGTGGCAAAAATGGTCATAAAAAGTGGGTGCGACTCATGTAAGAACTGTCTTGCTTAGCAATGGAAATTCTGGTCCTAATTGCCATCATACGTTGAGGACTACCTGGAGATAGTATAGAGCAAAGTTTCTCTACGTTGTCTAGGGAATTCTGGGAATTGAAGTCCACATGTCTTAAAGTTGCTAAGGTTGAGAAATATTGATGTAGGACAAAGTTCAAAATATATGAAATGCAGGTATGTAACCTGCAAAAATGATCAGAACCGGGGCCTCTTTTGGGGGGAAGTTAGATCACCCAAAGATTGTCCTATAGCAAAAACCATTGAAGCGGCAGAGCCTAGCAGACCCAGTCATAAAAATGACTGGCCATGCCCACCCAAAAAGGCAACTTCTAATGAATCCATCAGAGGATCACTTCCTAACCTTAACCCAGAAAGATTCCAAAATTCCACTAAACCAAGCAATGAGATATTCGTTCTGTGGTCTAGTCAGGTTCTCTAGAAGCAGGGAGATGTCTACAGAGCTTCTCAGCCATCCATGGTTCTCCCAAAGATGCTTTTTCAAGAGGCAACTGAACTGAACTGAACTGAAGAAGCTTCTTGGATGAGAAGCCAAAGTCTTCTAGGAAAAACAAAGAAAGCCCAGTTGCCACTTGAAAAAACACCTTTGGGATAGAGTAGAGAGCCAAGGTGGCACAGTGGTTAGAGTGCACCACTGCAGGCTACTTCTGCTGACTGCTGGCTGCCTGCAATTTGGCAGTTCAAATCTCACCAAGCTCAAGGTTGACTCTCCTTCCATCCTTCCGAGGTGGGTAAAATCAGGACCCAGATTGTTGGGGGCAATAAGCTAACTCTGTAAACTGCTTAGAGAGGGCTGTAAAAGCATTATGAAGGGGTATATACCGGTAAGTGTTATTGCTGTTGCTATTTCTGGAAGAGCAAATTCTTGTAGACCCTACAGTACTAATTCAGCATAGTCTCCACCAATATCAACCAACGCTTAGCTCCCAAATTCCTAGCCATCATAGCTAATATAGTTAGGATTCTGCGAGCTGGAAATCCCCACATCTGGAAAGCACTATATGGGGGAAGGCTGACATGACTGCTCAGCACGACCTCTCCAGGATATGATTAATCTTTTCCACTCATGGAGATGCTGGAAATTAAACCCAAGATCAGTTGCATAAACATATTTGTTCTACCACTCAGCCAAAAGGCTGAACTCTTAAGTAGAGGCTCTCCATAAATGCATTCCATATCAAAGCCAAGCATGGATTCTGTAAACTTGAATTAATTTTGCTGGTCGCAGGGCATCAAAAAAGGTTTCAAGGATACTCTGACCATGGAAATGTCATTAATCTTTCACATTATCTTTTTTTTTTGTCACAAGAAAGACCACCAGATGTTTCTACACAACCCAAGAAGCTTTGTGGCTAGGAAGACTAGGGAATTTTTGGCCATAGAAAATAATTAAGAGTGTGGGAACATCTGTTCAGAGGTCCTAGACTGCATACAACAACATCTGATCATGCCTGAATCAAAGAAACACAAAGATCCTGCTATCCTGAAGCCATGAACCCTTGCTACTCCTCCACCCACAATAGAAGATGGCTATTCCCCAAGAAAGAGTATGATCCTTGGATAGCGTAAGTGAACAAGAATGGCACCGTACAATCATCGTAGTCCTCACGCTCAATCTGTTCATTGTAGTCCAGTGTTGGAGGCTCTTGTTCTACAGGAACAAACAAGAAGCACAGAAGCAAGGTTTAGTTAAAAAGACAATAGGTTTGATTCACTTCAACCATCTTTTCCCAGCTGGTGCCCTCCTTCCAGGATAGATCTCAATTCCCTCCATTTCCTGCGAGGAAGGACAAAATATGTAAGACATGGATGTATTAAGTGGTCTTCCATGCAGTGATATATCAGAGGTCTTATATTTTTAGCTCTTTCAAAAACTCTGCAAATGTTTTGACTACAACCTGTCAAAACACTTCAACAGCAAGTTGGATAGAGAAAGCTTAACTTCTCCCCAAAGTGATAGAGCACAAAAAGCACAGGAAAGGAAGACACAAATCACAATTGGTCTCTCACACCAGTCCTGCTTCAGTAAAATAACAGCCACTTCTACTCCATGCATCACATTAACTATAGCAGATAGTTCTGGCTGGCCCTCAAATTCTTTGGAAATCCTGTTTCCAGCATGCTCGCTTTTTGCGTAGATGACAGCAGTTACATTCCACCCCGTAAGAAAATTTATAGTGAAGGTCTGGCCAGACATGGAATCAGGAATGCATCTATGCAGAATTTTCTAAGATAACTAAGAAAACCTGATCTAATCCCATGGTGGGATTCAGGAGTGCCATTAGGCATATACCGGTCTCTGGGTTTAGAGGACAAGCTAAGGCGTTTGTTTGCCAGAGGAGTGAAGAAATATCTTCCTTAATCCACTTTGTGGTCTTGACAACATGATTTAGAGACAGCAAGAGGTCTGAGAAACAGCCAACTTTGGGAATTAATGTCTGTTACCTGGCTGACCTTCTCGATCTTTTTCATCTGTGGGGGTCTCCCGTGGCTCCGTTGGCGATTCATAGACATCAGCTGAACAAAAAGCACAATCAAATAAACAGGGATGTAAACATATACATACCTCCATAAAGGATCCATTTGGTTCTTGCTCTATATATACAACCCTCTGATCTATTGTTATTTTATGGTTTTAGGGGTAACCCACAATCTGCACACTACAGATCCACCCAAAGCTTCTCGCTTACCACTGAATTCACCCAGGGCAATTTGTTGTTAAATCCAGTGCTTCAATTTTAATGCATTTTAATGCTTGAAAACCCATTAAAATGGGAACATCACCTTCTGGATTAAATTTCATCCTTTTCTAGCACGGCCTTATCTGCTGTAACGCTTCAGCACATCTGTCAGTCCCCAGTATTGTTGTTACCTTGAATTTAATCATCCTTGCCCTGTTCATATGAAATCTCTTTGGCTTCTTTCTATCAGGATGGCTCTACATTATTCAACTTCCTGATGAATCTAATATTTTATCCTAATCAACTGTATTCATGCCTTTTCCCTTTTTCTAAAATGTACACTCCTTTCTTACATAGCCTTTGAAGCCGCCCTTAAATACCTATTAAGATGTTATTACTATTCCCCCGTAATCTGATTATACTCACTGTGAAACCTGGATGGATCTTGTTTCTCAATTACCTTCTCAGGATAGAGAGCTGTAGGATAAAACAGATGGAGTCAAAGATGAGAACTCTTTTTTCACATCACACTAAGCCTTGATTGTTTTGGGGTTATTTTTTTAATGTGACCAACTAACCCAGAAGCAAATATATTGCTTTAAGGTTTAGTGTGATGTGTGATACAAGGCAATGAGTTTGTTTGCACAAAGCACTAAACCCAGATTTAAAAAAACAAAAACCTATGGGCTCCTGAACAAGCTAGGAACTATTTGGGGGGGGTCAATCTTGTAGATCAACAAAATAATGACTGGTTGTTTGTCCAATTTGGCTCTGAGGATGATAATTTTACAGTGTGATGTTCCTGTAGTGTAAGCTCAGTTTGGAGGTAGAAGAGCAAAGGTAGAAATTTGCTAGGAGGGGACAATTAACTAAAAAAGAATTTTAAAAGGAAATTAATAGCAATAGCAATAGCAGTTAGACTTATATACTGCTTCATAGGGCTTTCAGCCCTCTCTAAGCGGTTTACAGAGTCAGCATATCGCCCCCA